CAGGTATCTGAAGATCCACTTCACTGCTTCCCAATGTGTCTTCTGCGCGGAATTTGACAGAAATCGCTTCACAACGCCAAACTGCGATTGAGTTGATATCTGGTTCTCGTACCAACACCATTGCTACATCAAACTTCCGACTGCTTGAAGAATTATGGAAACATTTGATCATCTCTTCCTTTTTCTTTCTCTGTTGATGGGTAGGATTCTTACTCAACTTGAAGTGAGGCAGCAAGCGGTAAGTTGCTAAAATGGTAGCATTTTTCATTTACTGAACCTCTCTTAGAACTCGTTTCAATATATTTTTCCTGCGATAACCATTAACCTGGCAGGATTTCTTATCTCGAATAAATCTTCCATCCGGAGCAATTCGGCCTTGCGAATCCCAAATTCCTCATGTCAAAATGCTTTTGACAAATCACTCTTAACTTGCTAATCATGTGTTTGCATCTGGTCCAACGATTAGCATATCATCAACATTATTAAAGAGAAGGATTTGGATAAAATTTACCATTTCAGGGAATTTTTCTGAACATATAACACAAGGATCTGCATTTTGTCCTTTTGTTATCCTTGATTTCACCATGAAAGAATCAAAACTTTTTATACCATCCTGTCGCTGCGGTGCCTTGTTTTTCAACCCGTATAAGCTCTTCTTCAAGCAACAAACCATGTCCTCTTTTTCCATGACCTTGTGTCCTCTTTTTCCTTGACCTTGAAACCTTTTGGTTGTTCCATATAGATTTCTTCCTCTAGATCCCCATGCAAGAATGCGGTCTTCACATCAAGCGGCTCTAACTCAAGATTCAAATTGGCTACAAGACCTAGTATAACTCGAATAGAAACTCATTTTCACAACTGGTGAAAAAATCTCATCAAAGTCAATACCTTTCTTTTGATTGAAGCCTTTGACGACCAATCGAGCTTTGTACCTCACTAGGTTGTCATCATCTTTCTTCAGTTTGTACACCCATTTGTTCTTGAATGTTCTCTTCCCTTTTGGAAGTTTCACCAACTCATACGTGTCATTCTTTTTTAAAGAATTTTTAAAGAATTTATCTCTTCTTCTGCATGGCTTTCTTACCAGCAGATCTCTATCTTTGCAAGATTGCACATCTTGGAAGCTCTCTGGCTCCCCCTCATCAGTAATCCAAAATGTAATCAGAACTAAAGGTACCTTTGTAGATGGTTGGTGCTCTCTGGTTTGACCTTCTCAACTGAAGTTCAACTCCTTCTGGTGTAATGGGGTTCTCTGGGCTCCCCCTGCATCAACACACCTTCTGCCATCTTCTGTTATTCATTCTACAATTGTCTCTTAATCCCCTCATTGACTGGCTCTTCTTCTTCTTTCTTGTTTTCTGATTCTGGCATTTCCTCCTCCTGTGCATCATCTGTAGGAAATGGCTTTCCCGGTGTAATATCTAATAACACCATCACTTGTGGATTTTTCTTCACAAAAATTGTATCTTGCCACGATCTCATTCTCGTGGAAATACTACGTCTTCGGCTCCGGACAACTTTCTTTTTCACTGGGTCCCAGCAACCTGTAGCCAAAAAAACTCTTTCGATCTCCATAAACCAACAAAAGTGCCCAAAGGAACTGACTTGCATCAAGCTTTAATCTCTGCTCCTTTGGAGACATCATAAAATGACTTGCAGCAAATACCCTTCAGTGTGAGAGATGAAATATTTCTACTTGTCCAGACCTTCTCCGGGATATTCAAATCCAATGTGCTTGAAAGGTAAAAATCCAATGGTGCTGAAGGTAGTCGGTTGATTAGGTAGACAGCAGTATTGACAGCTTCTCCCCAAAATGGCTTAGGTAAGTTGGCCATTTTGAGCACGGATCTGACTCTTTCAATAATGGTGTGATTCATCCGTTCAGCAACGCCATTGTGTTGAGGCGTACCAGGAACTGTCTTTTTTCATGCCTGATACCGTGCTGACTACAATAATCTCTAAACTCCTTAGATATATACTCACCACCATTATCCGTACGCAAACACTTCAATGCCACTCCAGTCTCCCTTTCCACCATCGCATGGAATTGCTGAAAGTGCTTGAATACTAGCATGGAATTGCTGAAAGTGCTTGAATACTTGGTCTTTTGTGCGCAATAAATATATCCATGTCTTCCGTGAGAAATCATCAATGAAGGTAAGAAAATACCTACTTCCTCCAAGTGATTCTACCTCCATGGGACCACATACGTCAGAGTGTACCAACTCTAACTTGTTGTCTCTTCTTCTAGAGCTTTTCAAAAATGAGACCCGATGTTGCTTCCCAAACAAACAATAATCACAAGAGTTTATTTTACCTTTGGCTAATGGTATGAAGGGACTTCTTAAAGCCAACATATTTCAACCCTTTCTCACAACGTGCGTCAGCCGCCTTATGCCTAAAAAAATTTGGTTGAAGCATTCATCTGCAACTTGTATTTAGTGGGTCTCGCACATATTATTGCATGCGTTTATATAGCGAGCAAACATAAATTTTCCTTCTCGCCACACCAAAAGACCCTTTGATGAGTTTCCAATTACCGCCACCTGTATGATGGTGATAGTTCTTCCTTGTCCAGTACGCTCATAGGATAACAGGTTCAACCGCAAGATCGGGAAATATTGTCTCACATTTTTAAGTGGTTAATGTGCCACCCGACACTTGTCTTTTATGCAAGATATCACCGACTTCCCACCACTTGCAAGACACTATTATTTCCCATTTTTAATAGTGCCAAAGTCTTCCCTCTTTATAAAGTTGGAAAAATATTCCCTTATTTGGAACACGTGGTATGAAGCACTGGAGTCTACTATCCACTCGGTATTCTTCAATCATCCAATGACAGGCAATCTTGCATCATGAGTGGACTAAAGTTCACCTCACCATCTTCTCCTAAGGGACGTGTAGCCCAGATTTATTTCTGTTCATTCTCCTGTCTTCCGCGTTTTGCACTTATCCTGTTTGAGTAAACGACAATTTTCTTTGGAGATGACCCTCCTTACCGCCATGTAATATTTTCTCATTCTCTCTGGACTGGATACTACCACCTGACCTTTACATTGTTTTTCTTGGACCTCTTACTCTTGCTCCGGGCCCTATTCTCTGTGAACAAGGGCCTTTGTGAACTGGTACTTGGCAACTCTCTTTCTTCGTTAGTTCTTTTCATTAAATAAGTTCTATTCTTTACTATAGACAATCGTACCACACCATTTGGAGCTGAGTTACTCAATGATACCACAAGAGTATCCCAGCTATTTCCGGGGTAGAGATCCCAACAGCTAGGCATGCTTGCATTCTCGTCTTCTTAAGGACATACCGCTAATTTGCTTAACTCAGTTACGAGTCCTTCAAAAATCGTTTCAGGTTGTTGATGTAAATTGATCGCCCCTCTGACAGCTTCAAGTTCATGACTTTACGCGATCATTGAAGACTTTTTTCCTTGGAGCATTCGTAGCCTCGTTACCATATTCTTCTAATTTCTTCCAGAGGAACTTTAGAGATCTTTTTCATTTCTCACATGCGTTGTATTTTCATTTCTCACATGGTTGTACAGGCTAGCATCTATCCATTGGCGTATTATACCCAATGTCTGCTTTTTTAATTTCTCCCACTGCCTTTCCTTCATTTCTTCCGGCTTTGCACTGTCACCTTCAATTGGATCATACAGATCTTTGCAATTGAGGTAGTCCTCCATTATGGATTTTCACATTGAATAGTTCGAATCCGTCAATTTAATTATTGCCCCATCGTTAGCCATGCTGAATTCTGAATCTGACAAAATTTCACTATTCACGTGAATAGTAACTTTGACAGAATTTACCAACCAAAGGCTCTGATACCAGTTGTTAGGATTTATAAAACTAATCCTGAGTGGGGCCCGCGGAAAAATTCCGTTGGTAAAAGTAAAATAAAAAAATCTACTATTACCACATTATACCTCCATAATTAAATATTGAATATTGAACGATCGAATCCACCAGAAATAATTAATCACGGTAAAAAAAATTAAATAATTACCGTAAATTTTGCCAAGGATTGAAAAAATAAGAACACCGAGATTTAACGTGGTTCAGCCTTCAACTGTTATAGGGCTACGTCCACGGGACACAAAAACTCCGGAATAATTCTTCTACTAAAAATAGTAGGTACAAAAGTATATTACAAAGTGGTTCACCCTTCAACTGTTATAGGCTACGTCCACGGGACAAAAACTCCGAATAATTCTTCTACTAAAAATAGTAGGTACAAAAGATATTACAAAAAATAGTGGTACTCTAAGTGTTTAACAAAAACACCCTAAAATTTCAATCCTCACTATTTTCTCTCTTTCCCAATTTTAGGAACCCTTTTTTAAAATTTTCTACACTCAATAGTGTATTCTTATTTTATATATTTTGTTTTTGTACATATTAATGAAGGAAAACCTTCTCCTTTTTATAGGAGAAGGGGACGCAGTGGACGCGTTAATCACGCGTTTACTTTTCCTTTTTTTCTTTCTTTCTTTGGCACCGTCCTTTGAATAACAAAATGAACGTGTTTTTTTTTTATTTGTTCGACAGTCCCTCTTTGACTGCCACCAAAACAAAAAACGTGTTTTATATATATTTTTTTTCTTTTCAAATGTATGTGGGTCCCACATGTCGGAGGGACCCCACAACAGAAAGAAAGACATAGAGAGAGTATAGAAACTAGTGCAAGCCAGAGATTAACCATGACAAAAAGTGGCTGTGGGTTGGAGGGAGAGAGGGAGAATGGCGTAGATACGGGAGGGAGACAGATAATAGTAGAAAAATAAAATTATTTGTGTCTTTCTTTGAGAAAACAACAGAAGAGGTGGCTTTCATACTGTCTGGGGTATTTTCGTCCTTTCATTATGAATTAACGGAAAAATGGACTACTTAGATTAACGGAGGCAAATATCAGAGAGATTCTATGTATTTGTTTGAAATGCAGTACTATTTAAATAGTTTTGTCAAACCTTGAGAACTAAATAATTAATTTCCTTTTTTTTTTTTAACCATTCCCTTCCCCAAATTCCTTTAGCACGTGCGTGCGTGCGTGCGTCGGCGCACCAAAGGTCAAAACGCTTTCCTTGAAAATTCTCTCTTTACAAAGACAGTTTTCGCTTTCCTTGTACAGTTTCTCTCTCATCTTTTATTGTCTACTGTTCGTTTCTGTTTACTGTAAAGGGCATCCTTTCCCGATCAAACTGTCGCTCTTTATGTGCCCCAAGTTTAGGCAAGGAGATATGAAACTTCCAATTCTCCCCTCATCAATGTCATAATTGATTGATTTTCAACTGTTTCCACTGATACTGATACTGACACTGATACAAACTCTCTTAAGTGTAAGTCAATTAGTAGGGTTTTTGTTTTGCTTTAATTGGGTTAGTTTTTAGATATGGAGGCCATAAAGAAGCAAGCTACAAGACTTAGAGAGCAAGTTGCCAAGCAACAGCAAGTAAGTTTTTCTTTTTCTTTTCTCTCTCTCTCTCTCTCTCTCTCTCTCTCACTCTCTCTGTTTTTGTATTTTTGGTTTTAATCTGGTTTTCCAACTTGTTGGTGGGTTGTGTATCAGTGCATGATTTTATTTTTGCTTTTTAACTTAGTGAAAGATATTGAATTTTTATTATTTAAGTTTTAATTAGTCTCAACTCGCTGTGATGGATTTTCATTTTTTCAAGTAAAATATGGAAGAACAATATGCCTTTAATGCTAATTCAAGAGGAAATTTTGCACTGAGCTGGCTCATTCAACTCTAATTGCCTTGGCAATTTGGGAGGGTTCTATCCTCCTAGAACTTAGATTATTTGCTTCTTGAGGATGATTTAGATGGAGATATTTAATTATTAGGTAGTTTTCTATTTTTAGATTTTGTATCCTAGGAAAGTTGACATCTTTTAATAGGGTGGCATCTATTGAATCTCTTGATGTAGGATAATTTGAGTGATCTGCCAAGTAATACTTCTTTCTATAAATTTTTTGTATGATGGGCAAAGCAAGCATAACTAGTATTAAGTTTGTATAGGTTTTTCTAAAGTTTAATTAGCAGATAAAAAAGAGAGGAAAAAATTATGTTGAAATGATTGCTTATGCTGGTCGAATGATAGAATTAGTTTAGGGACTAACTAGAATGAGGGGAAGGGATAGTTTATTGCTTGTTGGGTATACTAAAATTGTTACCTAACAGGCAGCTTCTAAAAGAAACAAAGAGAAAGGAGAGAAAAATAAATAAATAAATAAAATAAGCAAAGAGGGATAATGTGATATGCTGACATTGCTTCTGATAAACTCAAACTACTCAATTCCATTGTTTGCGCTTGTTCAGTATACAACTTCCAAATTTGACTTATATCAGTAAAAATGAAATTAACAGCACTTTATATCTTTATTAAATAACAATAAAAGTCTAACTAATAAAGAAAAATACAAATAGAAAAATTCACAAATAGCAAAATTTGCAAGGAAAACCTAAAATTATCAAGGAGCAAGATCTACATTAGAATACCTCGTGAGTTTCTTTTTCCTCTTTTACATCAGATATTTATGGATCTTGACCAACATTAATAAAGAAATATGACTTTTAAATCAGTTCTAGACTTTGTAATGTACCTGAAAACATAGGCAACCCAATATGAAATATACTCACCACTAAATGCACCTGTTCGGTTTTAGAATCCAAAAACAAGCCTATAGCTTAAGCTACTTGGTGGCAAGATCCAAGCAGTTTATGGTGTTGGGTGGTTGCTTGTGTTTTGGATGTTTTCATTACGTATGGGGGGACAACCTAACTCCTTGAATTAAGTTATTCTTTACTCACATTTACATGAGTTTTAAATAATGGTATTGATACAATATCAATTGCGCTTGCAGCAATGTTCTGGTATAGGATCATATCAGACTGTAACACTAATGCTAAAATTTATTTAAGTTTTTAATCCATAAATTCATTCAAGTCAACATTCAAACAATAATTTAATTGCAATAATTTTATAGATCTAAGTCTCTAACGATTATAGTTGTTTAAATTAAATAAAAGCCAAACAGCTTAAAAAGGCCAAATTAATTCCTTTGCACATAGCTTTGAACGCAACTCTTGCAATTGAACTCAAGTATTTTGATGTCAAAACAATAAGATGCTATGGGGCTGAAATGGAAATGAAGAGAGGAGAATAAGTGTTTTTACTGTTATATAGGTGAGAATAGGTTGTCAACAGGAAAAAAGGAGGCTGTAGTTTTTGGGTTTTTAAATCGAGATTGGTCGTACATTGTCGGCCTGTAATGCTCTTATTCTTCTGTATCAAGTGATATGGTTATGAATTAATAGTCCCATATCAGTACCTTAAATTTCCATGATGAACAACAAATACAGGGAGAACCTTCTAGTTTTTAATAACCTTCATCTATGTCCCCACACTGTGTGAAACCTCAGCTATAAGACCATATTGGTTCTATTTCACTCTAGGAAATGCGATACAAATGATGCATGAGCGTGACACATGAATTCTTGAAGATCAAAGACATGATATGTTGGGGACATGTTGTGAATTAATAGTCCCATATCAGTACCTTAAATTTCCATGATGAACAACCAATACAGGGCGAACCTTCTAGTTTTTAATAACCTTCATCTATGTCCCAAAGTGTGTGGAACGTCAGTTATAAGACCATATTGGTCCTATTTCACTCTAGGAAATGCAATACAAATGATGCATGAGCGTGACACATGAATTTTTGAAAATCAAAGACATGACATGTTGGGGACATGTTGCCTATGCGTGTTTGCATACAAGAAAATCCCATTCATACAGGAAAAGAAATTTCATCTATAATCTGTAATAAAATGTTTACATCAATGTGAAACTTAAAAGCCTTCATCCAGCATTGCTTGCATATTCAGAATAAAGTTTACCAAGATAATTACTACTAATTATCATGGGAATTTATCTCTTCATTATTTTCTACTAATTCTTAACTTAAACTCTATGTTTTCTTTATTTTAGTGGAATGCACTAAAAAGTTATTGTAAAAGAGACTTAAATTGTCTATTGTGTCATTAAATGTATAAAAATTTTCCTTTTTTATTTTTTTTCTGTTGGATATGGTTTAATGTGATCAGTATGTGATGGGCACATGTTAAGTAAATGCATGTGTAAACAGGTATATAATACTGCATGCACTTCATTAAAGGCGTAAGTGCATCATAGCTTACACCTTTGTTCTTTCTGCTGCATCACTTATGACACATGCCCTAACTTCTTGGGTTAACTTCTTTGCGTGCAAGCATTCCCAACATGTGGGAACCTTGTCTCAAATCTGGGTCTCACATCAATTTGGTGAATGCTATGTACTCTTGCCTATTTCATATGGCAGTTAATCTTAAATGCAATGTTTTGCAAGAGGGGAAACCACCTTGGAAGTATTTTATTGTTATCTTTACAATAAATGGCCACTTATTCAAATCCTTATCTTGGCTTAGGATGGATTATTCTTGGTCCATTCTATTCAAATGCTCCGTGGAGTTTAGATGGACTGCAACATAACAAGAAATTTTCTTGTTGGATGACTTAGAAATTTTTATTTATATTTTTAGTAATTAGATTTTATTACTCTTTATTACAATTCTTGCATTCTTCTGTTCTTTTTAATTTCTTTTTTTGGGCACAAAGATATGCATCAATGTTTTTAATGACATAAAATCTAATTTGTATCAAGCCACATTGATTATACCATCTTGTGTACTTTCATTTTTCTATCATGTCCAATCAAGAAGATGCCATGGGCCAAAGCTTGATGCATATTACTAATAAAAAACTGTAGGGCAAATGAAATTGTATTCTTAGCATACTAAGTTCTATTTTCATGTCATTTCATCCATAACAACTTAATCAATCTGTGAGTTAAATGTTCATTTTGCAGGCCGTATTGAAACATTTGGGACATTTTGGTAGTGAAACTGTTACCATTGATGAAGCAGAATTTCAGCGTTATCAACATCTTCAAAATCTGTACAATTCTACCAGGTCAGCTAAGGTAATACTTGACAGTTTGAGATCTGATCATGTTTTTTTAAAATATTATTCAATCAGACATTAAAAATATTTGGAACATTCAGGTTTTTTCTTTCACTTGTACTAAGCAACACGTGATACGTCAATTAGGAGTCAATTTGATTAAATTTTTAATATACATGAAATAATGATTTAATTTGACCAAAACCTTAATTTTTCGTATACTCCACAGCATTTTCAAAAGAATATTGTTCGTGGAATTGAAGGTTTTATATCTGCAAGTTCAAAGCAAATGGAGATAGGTGAGTACAATTTTGCTCTTTTTGTTGCATTTATTTCCTTGACAATGCTGGTAGATGAATTTTGTACAAATATTTCAGAGAGAAAGTTGGCTGAAGATTGTTGCAAATATGGAGCTGATAATCAAAGCTTGAATTCTCATGTTGCAAGAGCTGTTCTTCAATTTGGTACATCTCATAATTTAATGGAAAACGAGAGGGAAAATTTACTTGGAATCCTCAGTGATCAGGTAAATTTCTCACCTGTTCCAGTTTTGTAATAAAAATAGGCAGTCCTTAGGAACCTCCTCATGCATATTTTTCATTGGTCTAGCCTATGCACTTTAATTGCTGAGAGCATTTTCTTCATTTTTTTAATTTTAATTTCATGATTTCTCCTATTCTTCTATATAACAAAACATGCTAGACTCTGCAAGGCATTTGGAACTCTCTCTTTCATGTGAAACACAGGTGGCCCTGTGGAATTTGGCACATTGCACCATTTTTGTTGTCACCTTTCTCTCTCTGTGTTTTTCTCTTGTTTATTTTTGTATGGTGTTGATTTACTAATACATCCTTTCTCCTTTTTATCAGTTTATCTATTTTTATGATAAAGATGTTATAAATTTGGTCTTCTTGGCCAAATTTCATAGCTCTCCTATTTGGTAATTCGATGCAGAGCCGAGATAAAACAGCTCTTTTATACTTTCTTTTCATCTTTATCTTTCAGATGTTGAGGGATAACTCTGTGCTTCAGAACTTGTGTACATTCAAATAATAGAAGCTAATAATTCCCCCAGAATAATTATTGCTTTGATTAAAGATGGTGGACCTCTTTTGAAGAAAGGAAATGGGAGGGGATGAGGGAAGGAAAAGAGTGGGGGTGGGGTTGTTGTTGAGAATTTGAGGGGCTAAATGTGATTGAAATGGTTAAAAATGTTCTTTATAAGAAGATTCAAGTCCTTTCTTTTGCTATTCTAACTCGGTTCCTAACTTTCCAAACTCTAGCCTTTGAAAGGGAAACTTCAGGTAGCTTCCACAAATATCTTCTTCTACAGTTTGCTTTATTTTTTTGGTAAGCCGCCTTGTCATTCTAAATAGCCAGGAGAGATCCCAAGTGGCGTGTGCATATTTCTTGCACTCATGCATGTCTTTGCTTATGTGGTTTTTGAGCCTTCCCACTTAATGGCTTAAGCTTTTGGGTTGAATAGACTCCTTTGAAAGTTAAATTTGTCAAAGCTATCATTATCATCATATAGTAAAATGTCGAGATATTATATTGTCCATAAGGTGTTTGGTCCAAAATAGTGATCATATATCTAAATTTCAAAATTCGTGGATTTGTTGAATTTAATATTTTCATTTGGCGAATTTGTAATAGGATATACCTTAATCCAGTCCCAATCTAATATATTGACTATGTTTGATATTAGGATTTAGCATTTGGACAAGTGATAGTCAGATGGCTATTGATGTCATGAAGAAACTAAGCAATGTGGTGATATTAGAAGAAGAACTTGTACATTTAAATCATGTGCATGGACACCATGAATGGTGTGCTAATAGTGATGTCTTTAGCAGCCTTGTTATTTTTGCATTTCCTTTAATGTTTCTGATTCTGTCACAGATTTTTGGTATTTAGGTTTCTGTGCCTCTTCGAGCCATGGTAACAGGAGCTCCTTTGGAGGATGCTCGCCATTTAACACGTTGTTATGAAAAACTCCGCCAAGAGGTTGAAGCCCAGGTAATCCTTCATCTTTGGCATCCCATGGGTGTCTTGTGGTGGAAGAATCTTAGTGGATTCATAATGGTTATTTTCTCATCAGGCTGCTGAAGTGTTGAGGCGTCGATCAAAGATCAGGGAATCCGACATATCTGCAGAGAATTGCATGAGGCTTCGAAGTGCAGAATCAAGACTGACTGAGCTTAAATCTACAATCCTTGCACTTGGGAAAGAAGCAACTGACGCCATGTTGTCTGTTGAAAATCAGCAGCAACAGACTACAGTTCAGCGTCTATTTACAATGGTACTGCTGATCATTTCATTTCTTTTCTGCATGCATGTTTGTGCATGAGTAGCAGTTGAGTCATTGGGATAGTCCAAATTTGCTTATTTGGTTACATTTAATAAGTTCTTTTACTTGCATTATTTTGTAGTTATCTTTCTAGGTTTGATTTTATTGTTATCCTGTATTCACTGTTATTTGAGCTTTAATGTGGTAGATGCAACGTGTTAATAAAGGCTGAAACTATAATGTAATGGCTTTGTCCTCCTGTTCCTGTTACCCCAACGATTAAAGGGTTTTTTGAAAGTAGATGGGTAATTGCTAATCTGGTCATTATAGAAAGATAACATGATCATTACTTACAGTTGCTCCATCAAAGTCTCTTTAAAATTATGCTTGCTGAAAGCTAAAAATAACTTGCATTTCTATAGTCAAGGTTAACAATTACTATATTGTGGTTTTGTTTTTCCAAGTTATTGACAATTAAAATGCTACTTTCATGGTCTCATGATATGGTCTGACTTTTGATTTCTTCTCTACGTTGCTTTGAGTTTGGTTAATGGGTAACGGACATCAAATATGTCTCTCTGACATCTTTCCTTATGAATCTATAGCCATATATTGGGTATGTTCATTAAGTTTTTGTCAAGTTCATGTCCTTACAAAAGATTATTATTGTTTTCACTGTTGAAAAGCCATTGTTTTGGCTTATTCCTTCTCTGTATTGTTCATTTTTTCACAACAAATGCATCCTAGCCTTGATAAATTGGCGTGTGTTCTTCATTAGAAAACTTCATCCTTTCATGTACTTGAGTTTTAAAAAAATGGTTCAATAGAAATTCGCTCAAAGTTATAGACCTTTTGGTGTCATTATCCCTTAATAACTTGTTAAAGTTGAATATTATGAACTTCTAAGTTTTAAAATTTGGACGTAGGCTTTGTTGTTTTGCAAAATACCTTATTGGAAAGCATTTTCCACATTTGTAGATGTTTGGGTTAATTAGAAAAATTGGTCAATAAAATATATTTTGTTGGTTAGAATGGAAGCTAAAACATTTCAAGGAAATGGGCTTATGTTTTCAAAATGATAAGATTTTTTCCGAACTTTCTTATACTTATAAAAAGGCAAGAAAATTCTAAGGGAACCTTGTCAGCACATATCTATTAGTCCACTGGCCACAGTTTATTTATGTGCAGCTTGCATCTGCAGCAACTATTTACTCTATTTTTGGTGTCATTTTCTCTTCTATTCAACCACTAACCAAAAAAGAGTTAAAAAAAGACCATAAAATATAAAGGACATGAATTTTTGTATTTGTTTATTGAAAGAAGAATATTTTTTAACTGATTTTAAGCATTGCAAGCAAAAACAAAAAGTTTATTTTTTTCTTAGAAAAATTTTCTTTGTAAGAAATCATCTAAAAAGTTTTTTTTTTTTTTCACAAAAAATGGAGCCTTAGGTTTATAAACAGCCTAGCTAACCATGTACTTTTTTCCTTTTCCTTGCTAGACCTATGAAAATCCTTATCAAATTCTCTTGAATGTTGAGAATTGAAATCTTGCATAATTATGTTGTAAAAGGGAATACGCAACTCATAATGTCAACAGTATGCTTTAGTAAAAGGATAACTTGTTTTTAATGTTTGATTCTGTTGTTTCTGCAGTGTAGTGCTGTTCTTTGTGATTTTAATGTTTTGTGGGGGAAGTTATTTCATACATGTACAAAATCTCATTTGTTGTTTGATTATTTGATAAACACCTCAACTATATTTTGCTGCTCACTGATTCTCAATCTGCGTACAAGGTTGTTTGCTTCTGCTTCTGAAATGAAATTATTTTTCAGGTAGATGCTGAGAGATGTTATCATCAACATGTTCTTGATATTTTAGATAAATTACATGCTGAGGTTTGTAATCTTACACCTGGCTTTGCAATCTCTCATGTGCGTGCACTGCATACACATAGTTCATCCATAGATTGATGCCTGTGTTTAGCACTCCATCTGAGCTTTCAACATCGGGTGTCAAAACTATTTCATATCCTGCATTTATATTTATACAGAAGATTATGACTAGTGCTACTTTGAATGTTTATTGTTGGAGATAGATGATATCAGAGGAGCAATTAAATGAATCTTCATCACAATCAGCTACCACGCAGCAAAATGTGAATGCCCTAGCCATACATCCGGATACTACATCTAATGGAGCTGGTGATGAGAAAGATATTAATCAAAAGGACACATTTTTCATAGCAAAAGTAAGACTCCTGATCTCTTTGGATATCCATCTTATCTAGAGGAGTTACTTCATGATATAATACCAACTAAACCTTAATCTTAAACTACTTGTGGTCTGTTATATGAATTCCTCTGTTCATAACTAATTCTGCACTAATGCTAAGAATTAGTAGGTCTTTTGGGACAACTTCTCTCCATAGAGGTCCTAGGTCTACCTCTTCTCTTTTAAAACCATTCACCATCAATGTGTCGCATTTATGAACTGGGGGCACATGGGTATATTTTTAAATTTTTTATAATAGGTCGACACAGGAGATGACCAACCATCTTTGACGTCCTTCTCCCATTTTATCCTCAATGTGTGCTATTTGCACCTTTGTTGGATATGTCATTTCTAATTTTGTTCAATCTTATATGACTATGCATCCATCTTAGCATCTATATATTTGCAATGTTCATCTTGTGTGGGACCTTTGGGGCTCAACAGTCACTAACATAAATGCTGTCTCATGATAAAAAAACAAAATAGAAATCAATTAAAAGTAAAAGTCCTTTAATATATCGGCTTTGCATAATTGTGCTTGCATAAGCCATGAGTTGAAATATTTTCAAGTTTTTGTATATCTCATGATTTTGCATTTCATTGTTTTAAAATTGATATGGTATGGTTGATGTTGCAGTTAGAAAATTGTATTTTTCATAGAATTCTGCTACTATGATGTTGGATTTTGTTAGTCAACACCACATCTACTTTTTCCCTTTCCAAAAAAAGTCCTCATCCTTTCAAAAAGACAAATTTTTTTTGCCTCATTCCACCCCCCATCCCTCTTTTCTTGTTTTCCTCCCTTTTCTTCTTTGTAGGAACTCCCAATAGAAGACCTTCGAATGACCATACTTCCAAATTTTAAAGACGTAATTTTCCAACTTAACTAAGGTAAAAAAGTGGTGATTCGAAGATGTTGAATTGCTTAGGAAAGAGAATATTATGTAATATTATGTAAAACTTTTGTTATTATTTGTTAGTTTGAAATGAGACCTTTAATTATCTTTTTTGGACTGTTGTTTTATTGATTTAGGTTTAAGTAAGGTTGTGGTGGTTGAGGCTTTGAATTTATGGATTGTTATTGTCTCAAGTGAATTTAAAAAAACAGAACATTGAGAAAGAAAAGAAGAAAAAGAGAAGGTACATGTAACATTGACAATCTAACATTGTCCACTAGACTAGAGATTGTCCAGGTGTTCCACTTTAGGACTAAGATGAGGACTTTAAACAGTCTCAAGTCTTTATTCAGAACGAAAATGATAAAACATTAGAAATTAAATGGAAAGGCCTATAAAGTATTGGGACGATAAACGGTGCTGTCCCAAAAAATTAAGAAACAATCAGTACACCCAACACCTTGAATTTAATGAGTTATTACAAATAGGACCTCATGGTTTCAAACCGTACAATGTCAATCGAGGCTTTATAAATTGTTGCAACTGGTGATCTCACTACATTTTAATTTTCTCAAATTTTTATTCCACTTTTGTCCATGAAATCTTGAGAATGAGATATCTAAAGCAAATTATTACAGGGTAGAAAAAGATTATTACTTTTCAATTTTGCAAACAAAAATAATTGACTTGTGAACCTTAAAATTTAACCATATATCTAACTGTTTTGTATAAATCATGTGTTAAATGAGTTGAGAGAATTTTAACCATTACGTATAAGGATATTTCATGCAACATTTAACTAATTTGTATTAGATAATGTTTTAAATAGATGTTTGTTCCTGGTATTTAAAACTTTAAACCAATTTTGTTCCAAAAAATTGAGTTGAAAGAAATTCCAAGAGTGAATCTCCAGTTCATATTTAATCGACCAATCCTTCCTAATTCACATCTCTGTTGAAAGAATTTCTTTTGTAATTCCTTACATAAGGATTCAGAAAATACTGGATCTTCTTTTGTAATTCCTTACATAAGGATTCAGAAAATACTGGATCTCCGCCTACACAAGTAAATTGTTGATTTGGCGAGTATTTAAAACATTACACCAATTTTGTCCCACAAAATTGAGTTGAAAGAAATACCAAAAGTGATTTTTGCAATGGTGAGTATTATAGTCCAGCTAAAAGTTAGAAGTAAAATGTTTAAATCTTAAAGTTTGGGATTGAATTTTCCATGGTCTCACATTCCACTATTTCAGGGTATTGGATGTAACTATCCCTAGACAAATGAAAATGTTACTATTTCTATTTCAACATATAGGCCTATCGGTTATGTAAAAGCAACAAAAGATGAACATAAAAGAACTTCAGGCAGCTAAAGGAAAAGACAAAAGTAAACCGTAAGATCTCATATCAAACATTTTTAAACTGGCAGATACAGAAGCTGTGTTATGCGAAATTTAGTTAGATATACAAAGGATTGAAGAATTAGTTCTGGTTGATCAAGTAGTCCTTTATTTCCATCAGAACTAGATTTCCAAATTATTTCTCTATGTGAATTGCCAAACTAGTAAACTTGAAGCTGTACTTTTTTGGTTCATTTGTTCATCAATACTTGTGTTTGTGCAATTTCTCTAATTGGTTCATTTTGAATTCTCAGTTCACTTCCTTTATGTGTGTCTTTTTGTTCTGTTTTTTTTTTTTCAACCTTCATAATTGCAGGTTATACATGCATTTGATGCACAAGCAGAAGGAGAATTAAGTCTATCTCTTGATGATTATGTTGTGGTTCGTCAGGTACATTCGACTCTTTCTGATCGATTCAATCACCTGTAGACTGTTTGCTTGCAATTTATTTTTTCTAACTTATTTTGCAATTATTTGTTATGCTGAACTTTGCAACCTTTTGAAATTTTACTCTATTTTAAAAATTCAGGTGATATATTCTAATTTGAAAGGTTGTTTGCAATCTTTTTTTTTTTCCAATTTTAACATTAGTTTCCTAAGTTTTCTATCCTCTGCACCTTCACCAACGCACGAACTCTTTCTCTATCTGATAGACTAAAACCCTAAAAGTTATTAAGGAATTTCCAAGAACCAATTAAAGTTTCAAACTAGATTATAATCATTAGAAGGATGAGAGCATTTATAGGCCATTGTGGTTGTAGTTAGGAAGTTCCTGAATTGTATTTAATTATTTTAGCAGGATTCATATGGTGGCTTTTTGGTTCTTGGTTTCTATTTAAATAATTAGATTTGAAACTTGACAAAGGAAAGTTTTAGGGAGTGGTTTTTAATTTATTTCTATTCTGTTGTGTTTGGATTTATTAATTTGAACATCTTGATTTAGATTTGATTAAACCACTGTCTGAATTTGTGATATTTATGAATTTGAAGGATATCGATAATAGGCTTAAATATGATGGATTTCAAATAACTATAAAATATATTAATATATCATTTGAATATACTCAACATGTTAAAATCCTAGATTTCTTATCAAATTCAGAAATATGATAGATTTCAAAAAATTACAAAATATGTTATTTCAATGTATACCAAGGCATTGTCTAGTGGTAATACGGACTGACAATAGATCTAAATTCGAATCCCCTTTTCCCGATACTAAAAAAAAAAATCTCAAATTTTTCGAATTCCCCTTTTCTCCGATACTTAAAAAAAAAAATATATATTATATATATATATATATATATATTATATATGAAACCAAAGAATACATTAACTGATCCTATGGGTGAGAAAAAAAATAAAATCACATTGAATTTTTTAAAATAGGGTAGAATTTACAAAGTCACAAAGTTTAGATTCCTATCGTTGTTTAACAAACCTTGTTTTGCATAAAGAATTCATTTATATATATATATATGAACCAAAGAATAACATTAACTGATCCATGGGTGAGAAATAAAAAGTTAAAATCACATGAATTTTTAAAATAGGGTAGAATTACAAAGTCACAAAGTTTAGACCTATCGTTGTTTTACACCTTGTTTGGCATAAATGAATTCATTTATTTGTAAAATTCATTTCTCGGTAGAATTTATTTGCAAAATTCATTTCTCGGTAGAATTTATTTGCAAATATATTTCTCATATTCCGTATATGTTGTAGTTTAGAACATATAATTCAATTGAATTTAATATAATTATGTTTGAAATAAACTCAGAATTGAAAAATCATTTTCTTGTATTTTCTAACGTATAATTGATATAATAATTCTATAAAAAAGATGTATTCATCTTATCAAAATCAAATTGAAAAAACCAAGGATAATTATACCCCAAGTAATTTAATAAAGTAATAATCCGTTTTATGTTTTTCTTTCACTTTTTAATTGACTAATAGAAGAAGTTACATATTAATAAAAAAATAAATAATTAGATGAAATTAAAATAAAGGACTATTTAATTAAAATAATTTACCTTTTTTTCTGTTGAACTAATCAATAGCAAGTTTTATCTGATTACAAAATGTAAATATTGCAAAATCCAAAATCCGTATGTAAACAGTTATTTTGCACCTTTATTACATTCTTAGCGCACTAGATGTTAACCATGAAACAACTCCCTGTACAAAACAACCTCCAATGCTAGGGAAACAAATAATCCACAAAATCCTAACTTCGACTCTATCTCAGAGGAAGAGTGCACGATGCTGAGTCCTAAATTCCTAATCATTGTCTCCTTTTGCAACTTTAAAAGGCATGCACTTACTACCTAGCCAGGTGTGTTCATAGAGAGAGAATTGCTGTTTAGGAAGAAAGAGGTCAGAAGAGAGAGAAAATAGAAAAATAAAAGAGAGAAAGGGGGACAGAGGGAATAACAAGATAATATGAGTATTTTTATCTATGGAACATACTAATATTTGGAAAATGACAATTTTATGAACTAGTAACCAAATCAAACTCTGAACTCAATTTCTTCCTACCAAAATAACTGAATTTCATCAGTTCAGTTTTCCAATGATAACAAAATGGTGCACATCCATATTTACTTTTCTTTTAATTTTATTTTTATATTTTGATTATCGTTGATTCTATTTGGATTGTAAATCTGGAGCTTAGTTACTTCTCCTTTGCCTAAACTTTCCATTTTTTGATTGGTAATGTTACAAGGTGGCTCCGACGGGGTGGTCCGAAGGGGAATGCAAAGGTAAAGCTGGATGGTTTCCTACAGCTTATATAGAGAAGCAAGAGAAAGCACCAGTTAATAAGATAATGGAAGAAAACTAAATACCATATTTTCTTATTGTATATGGTAATCTGATTTTGTGTAATATTCTATTACGCCAATCACTTGATTTAGTGTCAGTTCATTTGTCCTGTAAGTGTGCAATAAAGTTTTCTATATATGACAAGTAGGTTAACAGCCAGCTTGTAGTTTGTAAATTTAGATATGAATATGATTATTTATTTGTGCTGTGTATTTTGTTTGAAAATAATTCAATTATGCATTTCATTTACTTCTATTTTGTGGAGCGAACCATCCAATTCGGTTCTGGTTCTGAATCGATTCCTAGAAAAATGTTGAATTTTGATTTTGAATCAGATCAGAATTGGAACCAAAGGAGGCTGGTTTTATTTCGGTTTGGAGCTGTGGTTGAGTAAAATAGATTGACCATGAAGCTAAATTGGATGCTAAATGTACGTGTAGATTTCGGGCTACGTGTTGAAGAAACTGAAATGGGAGATTATTATTGCCGTTTAAACTTTTGGGCGGATGATCAAATTTACCTAACCTCATATGTTGCATATTTGTCAAATTGTATTCTATTCTTTTGTACCGTTTAATTATAAAATTTAGTAGCATTTCTACCATAGAAGTGGATAGGGCTATGTAAAGTGAATCGGTTCCTTTTGATTTGGATTTGTATTTATATAATTTGTTCCATTTTAATTTTAAAATTATTTTTTATTCGGTGTGATTTACAAAATTAGTTGCTGAAAAGAATTTTTAATATTAACCCAAGTAGCAAGACAGTTATAAGAATTTTAAATTTCCATAAAATATTTGTTGAAACAGACAGTAGAATAGCTCTCATTTCTAATTCTTATGAATCCTGTTATATGGCAGGACCTGAAGGGGGTGAATTGTATTTTTTAAAAATTTAACTTTAAAAATCAAGTTCAGAAAAGTATATATTTATAAGATTAAGTTCCCAGAGTTAAAACTGCCTCATAAAACTTCAGATTTCTTTAAAATATAGTAGAATAAAATAGAACCGAAGAAATCATAAATAGAAATTTAACCATCTATTTCGTCCAGGAAGATAAAGCTTTATTATATTCAAATCAAGAAAAACATCAACAATATAGCATTTTGTTTCACAAAAGATAAACAGATGTGTGTTAAGTAAGTGTAATCAATCAAGATCTCAAACAAAAGAAGAAAAGTGCAAGAAGAACAGAAGAAAGATTAGAGCATAAAATAATTGCAGAATTGTTCTTAAAAATATTCAGTAAGGATAGAGAAAAAAAAGAGATAGGGAGCCGAAGAGAAGAGCCTTGATACATAAGTTGGATGTATTGATTGAAAATATTAAAAAAATTTGATTAAAATTGTTCTTCTATTATTTTCTTTTTTTTTTATTTCTGTATTCCAAACAAAGCCTTGAACCCTTTTTCGCTTTTCAACGAAAATAAAGTCTGAGCAGCCAACAATTCTCTCCACAGAACTGAAAAAAGAAAAACGACGACTAATCTATCTATGCGCCATCCCTTTCTCCCTTTTCATCTCACTTTCTTTTTTTCACTCTCAACAATATTAGGAAATGGTTAATAGCTATAACATGTATTTTTCTTGACATGACTAAGTAATTTAAGATTGTACATCAAATAGGGGTTACTCTAATTGCCATATTTGAAATAAATGATACAAATACACATTAGAAAATTAGTTTAGTATTAGAAAAAAAAAAAGAGAGAAATTTTACATCAAACATTTGAAGTTATATAATTTAACTTAATTTAAATTAAAAAAAAAAAGAGCATTACATTAAAAATATAATGAGATGTAATGTACATATAATATAATTTTGATTGCACAAATACATTATAAAATGTTTCAACAATAAGATAAATATTTATTCTATACTAAAAATTTGAAACTGAGATAAAAAGACCTAACTTACAATAACTAGTAAGCTCCGCTTAACCTTGAAATTATCCTACCGATGTGCCCGCAGATATGTCAGAACCCGAACCCGTCAAAGCTCATCTTAGCATTTTGGAAGTTGCTGACTTGCTTCAATGAAACTTTGTCCAAGTTTAGGCCTTGGGATACAGCTTTAACCTAACAGACTGTGCCATCGACGAGAGATGATGATGTATTCTATGGACTAAACCAGGATCAGACTTCTGCATACCGGCAATCAGCCACCAATAATCTGATAATGTAGCATCAGACAGCGGCTTCAAGAACTCGCATCTAGACAAAATTTCAGGTGGAGGTACTCCAGCAATAAGATTTGTGTCTAGACTTGGCTTATTCCTGGTCAGCTCTTTAGGGACTTCAATTGGAATGCTTTCAAGGGCAGAAGGAGTTGCACCAGGTATTACCTCCTGCTTAAAAGGCAGTGCTCTTGCAGCTTGCAAGCAGAACTCTATCCACTGATGGATTAATGGAGATGGCCCTCTCACTCGTCCTCCGATTTCGTTTGTTTCAAGTCTAGAGGCAGCAGGGATTGCCTGCACAAAAGTGTACAACTTATCTTCTGAACAAGCACGTACAACTAAAAATTATAATAATAACTGCTATTCTAATTCATGATTGGTAAAACTCTAATCTTCAACGTATATCTAGATCATAGATCACACTCAGTCATTGCACTGCCAGTCTGCTATTACCATCTTAACAAATGAATGCTTAGACACAATAGATGATGTATTAGAGGCGATCACAAACAAGTATTATGAAGAAGAAAAACCAAGTGATTGTCAACTTTACACTTAGATGAATAAGAATACCCAGAGATCAGCCCATAAGCTAGCTCCAGACTTGGGAACTACAACAGCAACATTAGACATCCGCTTGGCAACAGGAAGGACATCACTACTCCACCCAACAGCCACCCATACATCTCCCACTCCAAATGCTTTAAGATAGTCCACACTGTCGAATAGCCGAACCTACAAATAGCCAATAAATGACAAGATTATAAATTATAATACTGTTAGAAGATTCATTGGTACAAAAAGATTTAGGACACTGTGATACTGTCTTTTTATCCCAAGCAAAGTTGTGCATTCCTCATACAAAATTTTTGTATCTTATTTCTTCTCAATCCTCTTCATTTTCTGCATAAACTCTGCTACTACCATTAGTAAATCATTGATTCAAAAAGTTAAATTGTTTTATACATTACCAAAAGGGTCTGTTCGTGCAAGGAAAAATCTATAGTCAGAGGGAAAAAAATTTCTGAGAAAATCAAATGTTTCTTCAATTTGGTTGTACAACTGAAAGTCAGTGGAATTACTTTTTAGTGATTCAAGTACCTCGAAAATGTTACTTTTGCATCAACAAACTCAGAATGGATGGACCTGTAAAGACTACATTTTTCTTTTTCCAATTGTAATTGTATGAGGAGATTATTAGCAACTTTGCTGTAACCTTTTTTTTTCTTTTAAATATAACCATGTTGTGTTCTGCTATACTATTCAGGGCTAGTATAGCATGCCATTCCAAAATAGTAGATCTTGAGTCAAAAATTAGGAACAATTCTCATGAGACAATGAATATACACTACTGTTTTTATGAGCCTAAAACTGGATTTGAGAAAAGCTTCAAATGTGAGCTTATTTCAAAATCATATTTGGACCCATTAGAAAACCATAATTCAAAAAGCTATATCAACTAGACCAACAAAATTACTCTTGCGCTCCGTTTGGTACAAATGACTTCTAGATAGAATTCATTTACAAATGAATTCTAGATAGAATTCATTCACAAATGAATTTTTCAAATTTGGTATGTTTAATTTAGAATATAAAATTCAATTGAATTTCACATAATTATGTTTGGAATGAATTTAGAATTGAAAACTTATTTGCCTTTATTTTCTAAAATACCCTTAACAAAATAATTTTAAAAGACTAGGAGGATGGATAGTTTTGTCATAAAAATCTGCATTATGTTTTTGTGGAATTAATTTGGTAGTTCATCTACTTTGATGAAATTTAGTTTAATTATGTTCAATTCCAAAGAATTGAATTCATAGAATTTCAATCCTTTTTTTTTTTTTCATTCCAAACACAAAATCCAAATGAGGGGTTAATTTTGGCTCCAAGTCTGCTATTAGCCGCAGCAATATCAAATGGGCTCTTAGTCTTCCTTCCATTCAAATTTAGGTAATTTTAGGAAAAAGTTAGAAATATCCTAATATGTTACCAGAAGACAAGTTTTTCAATCCTCAAAGCCTCAACCCCAAAATCTAATAGAAAAAGAAGGAAGCCAAATGGATGGCTGTGGCCATCTAAGAGATTTTAAGGGTTTTTAAGAGATTGGCATTAAAGAGCAGTAAGAATTTGCCAATATATTCTTGTGAGGCATGCTTCTTATATAACTTGTGCTTGGAGGAAGTGCAAAAGTTGAACCTTAGGGATGGTTGAGGATTTAGACTTGGCCTATATGGCTCTAACCTCAAGCATGCTTGAGGCCCCTTCAACAACAATAAAAGAAATCAAAAATAGAGAAACATCTACAGGAAGGTGATTGAGGCCCCTTCAACAACAATAAAAGAAATCAAAAATAGAGAAACATCTACAGGAAGGTGATTGAGGCCCCTTCAACAACAATAAAAGAAATCAAAAATAGAGAAACATCTACAGGAAGGTGATTGAGGCCCCTTCAACAACAATAAAAGAAATCAAAAATAGAGAAACATCTACAGGAAGGTGATTGAGGCCCCTTCAACAACAATAAAAGAAATCAAAAATAGAGAAACATCTACAGGAAGGTGAATCAAAAATAGAGAAACATCTACAGGAAGGTGATTGAGGCCCCTTCAACAACAATAAAAGAAATCAAAAATAGAGAAACATCTACAGGAAGGTGATTGAGGCCCCTTCAACAACAATAAAAGAAATCAAAAATAGAGAAACATCTACAGGAAGGTGGAAGTGACACTTGCTACTGAAGAAAAATTGAGAGCAGAGATTGAATGTGTTACATGTGCATCACAGATCAAGAGGTGCTTTAGTATGAAGATTGAACACATTGAAATAATGTTGATGGAAAGGACAGGGTAGGCCTAGATGACATCATCAGAAAAAAGGGGCTCAAACTCAAAGGTTATATATCTTTCTAAAGAATATTAAGGACTAGTTGTAAATAGAGTTTTGTTAGGAGTTAGATTCATAATAGGTTTATATTATCCTGTATATGTATATATAAGTGTCCCTATTGATGAAAATAGATGAAAAAAATATTTTTTATAACAAGTGAAATGGAGGAAATAGGTCTATATAGCTACCAGCCTGACTAGTTTGGAATTAAAAAAACTCTGTTGAATGGAATGCATCTGAAATGTGGACATTGCTAAAGTTAGGAACCTAAATGGTAAAAATGAAAAATAAAAACCAAACACCCAAATAAATAAATAAATAAAATAAAATAACAGCATGATCAGTTGCCTACAAAATTCAAAAAAAAAGTTAGGATCCAAGATTTTTAGGTCCTGACTTTGGTGTTTGAGAGTGAGAAATAAAAGAGAGAGGGAAAAGAAAGAAAGTATAGAGACACTGGAGAGCAAGATTCAATTGATAATTTTTTTTATCGCTTCTATTGCTATTAACAGTACATGCTTGAGTTTAATATAGAGTTAAGTAGTCACAACAGACACTAATTATATGCAACTAAGATGTATATGGAAATGAATAAAAATGTATTTGTAATGCAATCCACAGCTTGACTCGACTTCTACTACTAATACCATTTACTTGTATCTTCATTGTCATACTTGCCTATCCCAAGGAGTATATCTGTGTCCTTAAGGTTAGAAATGATAAAGACTAAGATTCCTATCACCATGGACCTAAAAAGGATTCTGCAAAATTGGTACTCATTGCTGCCTGTGCACTTGAAGCTTCTCTGGGAACTTCCCTAATTTGACATCACAGCCTTTCTATAGCTTCTTTTGATAGCAACTTTGCAATCCTTGATTGCTCCCTTAAGCAAAAACAAAGTTCTGCAATGTTTGCTCAGTGAAAGTAACTGCCAGCTATAGCAATCCCAGACCAACAAGGATGTAATGAAGTTGCATAATTCTAGCAAGTCACATATTAAATCCAAAAATTGAACTTATATCCAGTAGCCATCAGAACAGATAGTCAAGGGCCATGATCGTTCTCCCATCTAAGTTCCAAAAACTATTTTTATTTTCACAAAAACATTCAAAAACTCAAAACCTTTGTTGGCTGGGATTTCATTCTTTTCCACATCTAATGCCATTCCTTCGATGATCGTGTAACTTCCATTTAATGTCAATTCAAGACATGACTGTCATAGCTCCTCGTGCATACTGACTTCTTTTTCCCATTATTTCTGAAAAAAACCCATCTCAGATGCCTTTGTATCAACATTCACAACACTTTTGACAATTTACTTCTTTATTCACTCTCTTATTCATATAAAGACCTCTGCAGGCTAAGATTTTCCACTGATAGAAAACATAATTTCTTTTATTTGTCTTCTTCTAAGCTCCAGTTATTGTTTTAGACTACCAAACTATATTGCATCTACCTCCAATTCATGATTCCCACAATGGGGAAGCAACCTCACAGCATTCAGACCAACAATCACAATATCTTCTTTATTAAAAATATTCTCAGCATTGAAGACAATTTCAGGTTTACAAACCCTTTGACCAAAACCACAACTGAGTTTAGGGCCACGAAAACCACAATAATCATTTTGAATTGAAACTATAAGATAAGCAGCGGCATTGGTGATTTTTCTTAAGACCAAATAGCTCAATAAGATCCGAAATTTGTTCTTTGAATTTTTGCTCCTTGTCCTTTTTCAATAAGATATCAAATTCAAAGATGCGGATGTGAGATGGATGTATGGTCACAAAAGATTGGATAAGATTAGGAATGACGACATTAGAGAAAAGGTGCAAGTAGCAGAAGTTTGAGATGGTATAGTCATGTGTTAAGTAGACCCCCATAATGCCCAATTCATAAATGTGATACCTTGGTAGTGGAGGCTGCTAAATGGGGGAAGAGACAGACCTAGAACCACATAGAGGGAAGTCGTCAAGAAGGTGCCTATAGTATTTGGATATTAGTAAGGATTTAGCTATGGACAAAGTAAAATGGAGGCAAAAGATTCATACAGCAAACCCTAACTAATTTAAGGCTTAGTTGCCTGTCGCTTGTTTTGTTTATTTACTAATAAATCAAATGATTTTTCTTCTTTAAAAAAAAAAAAAAAAAAAATCTTCTTTTTTCTTCTTTAAAAAAAAAAAAAAAAAAAAATCTTCTTTTCCAAAATTCTTTCACAAAAGTAAAAAAAAAAAAAAAAAAAAATCTTCTTTTCCAAAATTCTTTCACAAAAAGTATTACAAAACTTTTCCAATTTTATACTTTGCTTCAATTGCTTAATTGAACAGAATGGATATGGAAACAAAGGATTTATAGCCAATTACAACTAATTTGAGATTAATCCTTAATTGTTATTATTGTTATTATTTTTATTGTTGTTGCCCTTTTTGTTCTCATCAACTTGAGAATGAAGGCAAGGAAATCCTAGGAGCAGCTTGGATTCAATCAAGCCTTCAAGACTCTAGGGTTTGATCATGCCTTCTTTGAATATTTTCTGAAATTTGATGATTAATCTCTTTAATATAATACTCAGATTAAATTGACAATTTTTATTTCTCGGATTATTATTGACAGTTCATGCTTGAATTTATAGACCCTACAATATCGAGGACATAAAAGCTTAGTACAACAGATAGTAGCTACTTAAATGCAACTGAACAATAATATATTAATGTACTTTTAATGCAATTCACAGCCCAAACACAAGTACTAATATTAATCCCATTTAATTATATCTCCGTCGTCAGCATTCTATTTCAGACAACAGGTTCTATAAATATTTGATGTTACAACTTTGCATAAAAAAATAAGCTATTTTCCACTTAAACTGAGCTTAAAGTTTCTGCTAGAAGCTTGCTACACGTTTTTTCCTAGATTTAGATAGGTCATTAAGTTTGTCTCGCATACTCGCTGCATCACTTAAATCACTCACCCCACCTCTACCATCATCTTTGCCTTACCCCATATGCATCATTATGATCCACAAAAACTTCCCACCTCGACATGAAATAGCACACACCCTAAAAGCAATCAAGAAAAACAATAGCAAGGAGAAAGAGGGGCGGGGGAAGCTAACTTCAATCAACTAGAACAAGCATAATCCATTGTGTTTGCCCTCATTAACAAGGCTGTATATCCTCTCTCTTTCTATCTATCTATCTATCTCTATTTCCTTCTCTTTCCTTTCCCTCGTAAAAATTTGAATTCTCATCTTCACATCTCTACCCACACTTTTATTCCTCTTTCTTGCATTTTCTTAACAACCAAAGATATTTCTTTTTCTTGCATTTTCTTAGCAAACAAAACAAGCCAATCGACATGAGGGCAAAAAAGGAAAGATAGGTATCAATATTGAATGTGTTTGCATATAAGAAAAAAGTGGAATATGTAATAATTTATTCATGGAGATTGAGGCATCAATTTTGAAACAATTTGGAGATTTAGGCTCCATTTGGGATTCAGTTTAGAGATGCTTTTTCAACTGTGTTTTGTATTTTTTGACTTTTTTTTTCTTAATTTTCTTAAACTGCTTTAGGAAAACCATGGTTTGAGAGAAGCTAATAAGTCTAGCTTTCCCAAATCATGGTTTAAGCCTTAAATATTGCAAATGCAGTTTCCCAAATGTAACCTAAACGCAACATCAAGCAGACACATATAAGTTACCATTGTTGATGCTACAAGAGAGAGAACGATTAGAAATGGAGTTCCTAAAGGCAAAAGAAGAGAGAAGGTAAAAGAGAGGAAGGGAGAGAGAGAGAGAGAGAGAGACATAAATGGAGTAAGTGAAATAGTTGAATAGGTGAGGAGGGGTAGGGTGCTATTATTTACGGAGGTAAAATCTCCATCCAAATTTTTTCATAAGTAAATCCAGTCAAATGCATCTAAATTAGATTAAATTTTTTTACATTCAAACACTTGATTGTAAAGTCAATTCAAATGCTAAAACAACAAACATTGAAAATTTTCACACACTAATAGTAATAATTACCCTAATCAAAACTATCACATGTCGCGAGTATCTAGATTTAATTAATTTAGACATCCATCTCCCACAGATATAACTTTTTAAGGTGGAAATTGTGTAGCTTCTTCCTTAAAATAAAATACAGAAACTTTTCTGTGCATATTTTATTATATTTCAATTAATACTGTGAAACTTTCATGGGATCTGATTTTTTTTTTTTTTTTTTTTTACAGAAAACTTTTCTGCTGGGCATATTTTATTATATTTCAATTTAATACTGGTGAAACTCATGGGATCTGATTTTTTTTTTTTTTTTTTTTTTTGCCCCTCCTTCTTCTTTTTATACACCTTGAGAATTTGCTTTCAAAAATTTTCTTTCAGCCTTAATTTTTTTTTTTTTTTTTTTGGTAGGTTTAGATGCTCAGCTTGGCCACGTAGGCATAGTCTAAGGGTTTAGCAATTCTTTTTTTTGTTTTCCTTCTGATTCATTGGTGCAATGAAATTCAAATGGTAAAAGGAAATTTTTTTTTTTTTTTTTTTTTTTTGGTAGTGTTAGATGCTCAGCTTGGCACTGTAGGCATGTCTAAGGGTTTAGCATTCTTTTTTTTGTTTTCCTTTTCTGATCATTGGTGCAATGAATTCAAATGTAAAAGGAAATAAAAATCATGTGAACACATAGTTTAACTTTTATCCTAGTATTTTAGGTTCAGGCTTAGGGCTGAATTCCGGTTAACAAAAATTCTAAAAAAATTTAAATGCAAAATGACTCTAACCAGAATTAAACCAATAGCCACTGTTTTCCTTTATTTCACTAGACTTTTGAAAATTAAAATAGCAACAACTTGTTCCCCAATCCAACATGCACAACCTGGTATTGGGAGCATTTCAAAGAGTAGTGAGGCAATACAGACAAGTAAATAGAAAAATCCTTAAGTCAAAAGTCTACCTCACTGAAGTATGAACTGCTAGGAATCTTCTTCTAGTGGCAAAGAATAAAAGCTAGCATCGAGTATCCAACCTTTGCAATCCTTTATTATGTTGTAAAACATACTTCAAGCTATCATTATTGAGAATCTAATTCTAAGGAAAAGAGCCATTCCCACTTAAGTAACATTTTTACATTTTAGACATCAAACTATCAAGACTCCAGCCTGTTTTCATCAGATTTTCGCTAAGAAACCTCAATCCACCTTGTTTCTAGATTCACCTCATGAAAATCACAAAGATGCAGAAGCATAATATATAATGTCCCTACAGGCCAAACTTTTCTCGCTTTATTGATGTTTAACTCTTGGTTAGATTTGCCTTACTCAGTGGAATACCTTGCAACTCTTTATTCTTATCTACAAAAGGAAGTATGAAATGCAATCATAAAATCTATCTACCTGTTTTTGAAGGAATGCAAGATTTTGTTGGACTGCCTTCCTTCCACCAGGAACTTCCAATTCAATGTTCTCTGTATTATATGATGCTCCCATATATTTCAAAACTGCACCAACCACCTCTCTAGGAGAGTCAACCATAGAAATCCTCCCTGCGAGCTTAGGCTGCCATAGATCTGCCCAATCCTGCAATTTTGACCTATTATCATAATTGGAAATATTATTGTACCCAATGGAATTCCTAACTAAGTATCTACAGAAGCAATAGAACCACAAAGTTAAGTTTTAAAGCCAAGCCATGTTAATGTCTAATAATTTCCTCCATCCATAACCGTCAGCCCCTCTATGGTATTCAAACAATATAAATTGATACAGAAACATAGTTGCTATGTCCACATTCCAATGAACTGATAAAATACCAATGGTTCCTATAAAACCCTTAGTTTTCCTTTCATTATAATTAGGGTTAGTAAATTTCACAAAGAGTAGAAACATGAAAATATCATTGGTCATCCCAGTATGGAAAGATGTATTAAACATACAAGTTACCTCTATTGGAGCCAATTTATTCTTCTGGAGTTTATTTTTCTTGTAGGCTATCACCATAGTGCCCCATCGATATGGAGCAGCCCATACTTCACCATTTGGGTCTATTTTTCCCTCACGATTCCTGCGTAAGTATACCTGAGACATGTTTATTATTGAACAAAGGCAACTCTCCATGGAGAAACAGGAACCAGCAAAAGATATAACTGCTTAAGTGTAGGGGAAATAGTATCATTCAAGGAAATATCCTGTATTAGTAATGATCATCTGGATTAAAATCAATGTTCAATAATGCATGGAATCCTATGAATACTTCTAAACTGTGGGAGTATAAGTAGCAGTGTATCAATATCTTGTAGTACAATTGTGACTTGTGTGATCTTAGTACATTTTGTAAAATAAAATTAATTTGTTTCCAGAAAACCCTAATTAATTTTCCCTTTATTATAAAAAAACTGCATTAATACAAGCAAAGTCAATCTATTTATATATGATTTGAGGAGGCTACGTTTGATAAAATTGTGGATTTAATGTGGTTGTGAGATTCAATAAAATGGCTAGCCTGAAAGATTAGAATGTTGTAGCTTTAGGATATAAACCAAACTTGCAGCCAACACTAGAGAAAGAAGGCAGGAAGAACTGAGGACAAAAATCATGGGCATGGATGGCCTAAAACCACCATAATTATAATTATTAAGTACCAAATATCTTTGAATCAGATGAATCACCTAAAGATCTTTAAACATGAAAAGAAGCCAAAACATAGAGTTTCAAGAGTTCTAAACTCTTACCTTCCATTTTTCGCTTAAATCTTTATACCAATCCTGGTCTTCTATCCCAGTAATGGGCTCAACTATAGACTTTTTAATGGCAAAACTAAGCCAGGAATCACCAATACTAACAACATCAGCAGCCACAACAGATGCAGGACCAATCCTGCGTTTGTTAAAGGACATTGATAGGTCAGAAAAAATCTTGTCAAGACTTCCAAGGAACTGCATACGAAGCCTTAATCTCCTTCCTTGAGATTGTGTGAAATCCTATAAATTAAAAGAAGATCAAGTTATTGCGACAAATAAATCCTTCCTGATACTGTAAGGTAGTAAAACAACATTTTCCACAAGTCGAGTTACTTATTCAGCATATAAAAGCATTAATTAAACCATGATAGAGATAACTGGAACATCAGATTTTTCTCTGCTATGTTATTAAGTAACACAACAACCCAGAAAAAAGTACCATAATTTCATGTGGGCACGAATAGATAAAGAAACTGAAAAGTACAGAATAAATCATAAGCATTAAGGGCGAAAAATAGAAACAGCCAGAAAAGTTTATACCTTTCCCCAGGAAGGAGGCATAGAACCACGAAGAGCAACAATTCTAAGAGGAACAGATAAAGCAAATGTTTTTGACTTCCAAGCTTCAAATGCACTGTTCAACTCTTCGTCTTCAAATTTTTCCGAAGCCTTAGAATTGCCATTGGTATCATCACCCTCTGTGTCCATAAAATCTAAAGCAAAACAATTGTAAAACAAAAATATTCTAATTCAAGTATAAACAAAAAAAACAAGGAGTAATTAAAACAAGTATACCTTGAGGGACAACTGCAATTTCCGGTAATTTAGTGGTCGCGGGGTGGAGAAACGTAGTCGAAGCCGCTGCTTGCCAAACACCAACACTTAGGCCTAAGAACAGTAAGGCGGAGGTAGCAGCAACACGAAGTAAGGTACGAGGCTCATCGGTGATGGTTGGTTTCGCCGACGAACGGATTATGATTTTGTGGCGGCCAGTGAATGGATGGTGAATAAATGCGGAATTGCTGGTGGGGATGCGGTGGAGAAGAGAGGATGGTGTCATAGGAATTGCGTCATTGTAAGACAAAGATCGTCTCTGCGGAAGAGAGAGGGACTGAGAAGCAACAGAAAGGTTCATAGAGCTCAATCCAATACTGAATTCTACGGTTAAGTCTGTTTTAAAGAAAATGAGGGACTGACGACTGAGAAGCAAGAAAAGGAAATGAATTGTAAGGAAAAATAAATAAATAAAAGATAAATATATAGCCGAAAAAAGTAAATTTACCTAAATAAACGAACAAAACCTCAGATTTCAAAAACTTAATATGAGAAATTCGTCCTAACTTATAATTTCCTTCAAAGAAATTTTTTTAATATGGGATACCGCATTGTACCGTGAAGAAATTTCACTTAATAATTTCATAAATAATAATAATATTATTATTATTATTTTATTATTATTATTTGAGAAATTCGTCCTAAACTTTATAATTTTCTTCAAAAGAAAAATTTTTTTAATATGATTTAACCGCATTGTACCGTGAAGAAAATTTCACTTAAATAATTTCATAAAATAAATAATAATTATTATTATTATTATTTATTTATTATTATTATTATTAAAATTACACCTCTTTTAATTAATATTATTATTTTATTATTATTATTATTATTAAATTACACTCTTTTAATTAATTGGCTACTCGGTTTATTAAAAGATGAAATAATCTTTTATAACATCATTTAAAAAAATTACGAAACCTTTTACCAAGGTATAAAATAGTAAAAGTCATACATAATATGACCTGCAATAAACAATAATATTTTAAGACCAAAAATATTATAAATCTATATAAATACATACTACACGGTTAATGTCTTATTATTAAAAAAAGAGATCAATTAAACAACGGGCCGATAGCCTCATTTGTGTTAACATAGCTGATAACCGTTGAGCATTGACAAATATCATCCATGATAGATTTTATAATTATAACGAATTGTTACAGGCAAATCATCTACATCATGTTGGAAAAAGCTTTAAAATATGGTATGAACCACAATTAATTAAACTCGGTTACTTTCCTTTAAAATCAATATTAACAACTCATATAAAATATAAATAAAACAAGTTCCTATATAATAATTACCCCTTCGTAAAAAACAATGGCTCATAGAAAACTTAGTAGTTATAGTTGTCCATAAACACACGCAAATTCAACAACTTTAGGGCATAAATTTGTTCCCAAAGAATCTTAGCCAATGACCAAAATAGGCAAAGTAACATGCCAGCCTGCATGTGTTCACGCACACAAATTACTCACGTTGAGAAGAGTATATTGAGCATCAGTAAAATCAGTTGTCTTAGCAATGATCCTGTAAGCAATAACTCTAGAAGAAACATCACTTTCTCCTTTAGAAAAACTCAATTCCCTTTGCAAAACCATCTCAAAAATATGAACTCTGATGTTATACGCAATATTAAAAGATAAAATAATCTTTAAAACATCATTTTAAAATAATGTAATTTAAAAAATGATAAATAATTTTTTTTAGTTGAAAACTACAAATTAAACACCTGTTTAAATTAGATTACGAAAAACTTCTTTATATACTATATTTGTAACTTCATTTGTAATTTATCGCTCATCATCATAAATTAAAACTTTTAATCTATTTATACTTGTCACCCTTGAAAGAGCAACACAAAGTTGTCCATGTGTAAACACAAGTCTCCTTAGAAATAACCTGACATGAAGTAATGATTGGCCTTGACTTTTATTAATAATCATGGCAAAAGACAATGTAATCTGAAATTGCCCTCACTGAAATTTAAAAAGTATTTTTGCATTAAATGGAGTCAACCTCATTCTTAGGATTAAGACTTTTTCTCCAACCAAATTTCTTGATAAAGTTTGGCTTCAATAACCCAATTTCCAAGTCCTGTGATGATCAACCTTATCCCATTACAGATTTAAATTATTTGGTTCAATTATAAAGTTTTTCATCAAATATTATCTAAGCTTGTGTATCTTTGATTTGAATATACAAATAACAGTTTTATCAATCGTTGTATGGATATGATCTCGCTAAAATCAAATATGAACAGTTACGAAAAAAAATAGATATCAATCATAAAAAAAAAAAAGATTTCCTAATCTGTACAAACATTTAGACTCCTAAAGAAGAAATGATGTAAGTAAAATGGATAAACATAAATATTAAAAATATTATTTTGTTTCGTAACATATCAAACAAATTATATATATTAAAGAGATTTGTTTGGATTTCTCAATTTTTACAATCATACATACTCCTAAAAAAATCAGCATATGAATAAATGATAAATTAGAAAGCATACAAAAGACAACATGTAGTATAAATGGTCATATTTGTATAAACACATAACTTACTTTAGTTAACTGCAGAAATATCATTGAAATATATCATTCAAATATCCTTCAATTCAAATATTATGTTAAACCCACTTATATAATATCAAAAGATAACATATAGTATATCAAGAGAGATTTAGTAAAAAAACTTTCCATCTTGTAGCACCATCTCAAGAGAGAATGCACTGCTTAAGTTATCACGTTCTAGAAACTGCCACAATCGCACCACACACACTTTCTAATTCCACTGCATCTCTGTTGCTTCACCTCATCAATGAAATCAATTTGTGAAGCCATAATCTAACCAACCATATTTATGTAATTAATTAAAGACGACATAATTTCTGCACTTATTCTTCGAGAATCAGAGATTTAAATAACAAAATATGTTTTATACATACAATTAATACAAGCATCTTGAGGGATGAACAAACACATTGATACAAAACAAAATATGTTTTTTTATCATTTTACTTATTTTCTAATTATTTAATGACATTATGTGATGGGGAATGGAAACTGCAACCATGGTTCTAAGAACTGGTCCAGCCAGTTTAACTGGGAACTGGATTATAGTTCAGTCTAGGATGGATGCTTATTACTGAAGAGTAAAAAACCAAAAGAGAATCGCTTAAAACATATGAAAACCAAGTTAAAATCATCGAACCGAACCAGTATTGACTACGGTTTTTCAAATTAATAATAAATCAACTAAGTTATCCACGTGGCCTATTCCTTTTTGCAACCAGTCTAATCACGTGGTCCCCACTGTACATTATTTGAAGCTTATTTTGACCTTTGGTGTTTTACACGTACTGCGATGAATTATAATTACAGTATTATAATACTATTATATAAAATATTATAATACAATTACAAGTACATTAATTTGGGTTTTTTACAAATATGGTATTCTGCAAAAAACTATTTCGCAAATGGTGTTCTTTGAAAAATATTTATAAGAATGGTGTTTTATTGACATTTCAAAGGCTTTTGTTGCGGTTATAGTGTAATAAAAGAATTGTCACCTATAACCGGAATAAAAGCAATAAATTTTAATTTGTTTTAATATTGTCTAGCAGCTTTACGGACTAATATTCTCTCTCCTCTCTCCTTGTTAAATGTTAATATTATAAATGAAACAATGTAACAATGTCATTATATCAAAAGGAATACATTCTATGCTTTGGTAAGGTATCAAAGGTAAGATTAAGATTCCCACGATGAAAGGACACATTTTATGGAAAACCATACAAGAATACTATAACACTCATGTTCAGATCCAATATTACCTATTATTCCTCCACCACCATTGTCGAAAATTGATTTTGATTTATTAACAATGGATCCTAATGCTAAACCTCTGTGTTCTTCAAATTGGGATCCATAAAAAAAAATTTTCAGTTAGTATGTTATTTTCCTTCAAAGATGCAATACAAGCAGCTGTTAAAGAGTACCATCTATGAAGACATCATTAGTTTCGTATGATTGAAACCAAACCCACAACATATGCCATCAAATGTGCATATCAATTAGATCAATATAATTGGAGATTACGAGCAAGCAGGATGGATGGGTCCAATGTATGAAAAATCATAAAGTATAATGGTGGTCACACCTGCACTAACAGTCAATTGATACAAAATCATTGACATTTGGATAATAAATATATTTGTGCTTTTATTATATCTATGATAGAAGAACAACTGATTATCAAAATCAAAGCTCTACAAGCTGAGATTAAAGAGAAAGTCGAATATGAGCCCACTTATCGAAAAACTTAGCATGAGAAACAAATGACCATTGTTAAGCTATTTGGGAGATGGGATGACTCATATAGATGATTAGTCAGTACACGACTGCATTTCTTCATTTCAATACTGGTTCAATTTTTGTTATTAAGACTATGACCATTATATAAATGATAACATAGATCCGCATTGTCGCATTTTTGATCGGATGTCCTAGGCATTCAAGCAATCAATTGATTTAAACATTGTCTATAACATCCCTTCCCGGTCCACCCTTGAACCCGAATGAACCGAGCCGAGACGCTATAATCTGGTTGAACCTATGTCCTGTCATGCTGATATCATCCTATATGCTAAATATTATGTCATGTTAAACCTATGTCCTGTCATGCTGATATCTCCATATATGCTATATTATGTATGTTGTCTGCTTTATACATCAATTCTATATACAGACATTTATTTAATATATTCAAAGACATTACACTAGTTTTCCAAAAAATGAAAATGGGCCAACTATGTTGCCTAACATGCCACAGAACCAAATATCATAAATGAGAGTTACCCTTAAAGGACTGGGTCTTCAAAGATGACACTGCAGCAGTTGTAAAAATGACTATCCTTCTACACTAACATATCTTATCACTATTTTCTCACACTACAAACATATTCTCAGGCAGAAAATTTTGTTAAACTAAAAAGAGATACTCAAGACCTTCAACAAAAAGCTTTAAACCTTCTCTTAGCTTCCTTTTCTTACTACACTTGAGCTCAACCCTCTTCCTAACATAATAACATCTTATTAATCATCCAACAATTCTCATTAAATTATGAAATTCAGAAATCAACTACTTGGATAGATTATAAGTGAATTTAATGCCTTGAAAGCTTGAATATTAAGATAGAAAATAGAGGGAAGATTTTAGGAGAAGATGGAGAAGGTAAAAGTGAATGGAAATTTTCGGGTACCTCCAATATATCTTCTAGTTGTTAAAATTTACCAAATAGTACCTAAATTTTTCAATATTTTACCATTTAATACCTTAAACTTTAATA